CTGAGGGACAAGGACCTGCAATACCATGTTTCCAAATGCCGAGAATGCTTCCCTGGACTCATAATGAGAACATAGAACATTATTTAACAACTTTTGAATGCATCGCTCAAGCTTGCAGATGGCCAAGACAAGACTGGGTGTTGCATTTGTTACCTCTCTTATCTGGTAAGGCGAGGACAGCTTATGTGGCCATGGAGCCTGACAACTCACTCAACTATGACTATGTCAAACAGGCCATTCTTGACAAGTTTGAAATCAATGTTGAAATCTATAGATAACGCTTCAGATCATACAGTGCCCAAGAAGATGAGACTCCAAGAGAGCTGCAAGTTGTAGTATTCTTACATTCTGCTAAGAACCTATCGTATGCTATGGATATGGTATCCTGTGTTCTTATTGGCCATGTCGCATGTCAGTCATATGATAGCTCGGGAGAGTTCAGTATGCATCCAGCACGACACGAGTGAACACTTTGCCTGTGTGATTTGATTTAATCAATCTTCATAATAAACGAATTCAGCGTGCACCCAGAGCCTCCTTGAGTACTCCTTCATATTACGAACAAAAGCTTTACATGGTGTCAGAGTAAACGGATCGAACAAGGATGGACATCGCTGGAGTTCCAATGCCCACGATGAACTGGGAAGCAACTAACCTGCCTGATGCATGGCGCAAGTTTCAACAGCACGCGGAGCTGATGTTCAGCGGACCACTGAAGGCAAAGGGTGAGAGTGAGAAATGTAGTTACTTTCTCCTGTGGGTCGGTGAAAAGGGCCGTGATATTTTTAATACATGGTCACTGTCTGCAGATGACGCAAAGATTTTAAAGTCATATTACGACCGCTTCGCGGCATACGTCGAGCCCAAATCGAACGTGATATTCGCACGTTATAAATTCCATGAAAAAATGCAAGGAAGCCAAGAGCCATTTGAACAGTTTGTGACAGACCTGCGTTTGCTTGTCAAGGACTGTAATTATGCAAACAGTGATGAAATGATCCGCGATCGCATTGTGTTCGGGATACATTCACCGAAAGTGAGAGAGAAACTTTTGAATGTGGGCTCCGAGTTAACGCTCGAAAAGGCGATTGATGTCGCCAGATCTCATGAAGTGGCGCAGGCACAGTTAAAGACGATTTCAAGCAGCATGAGTGCTTCACGTGAACACGAAGTGCACGCAATCTCCCGCCATACATCAAAAGGCGCAGTTCCAAAGCAGCGTAACGATAAACACACAAAGAAATACAGCGAGAGTTTGCAACCTAGAAATACTACCCCAGTGCACCACAAAAGCGGCTACTGTGGAAACAAACCTCACACTGATCGATCTCATTGTCCTGCAAAAGGAAAAGTGTGCAAAATATGTGGTAAATTTAATCACTTCGCAAAAGTCTGTCGTTCCAGCTGTGAGAAAACTGTCCATGCAATAAGCACAGAACACTCAGACGAAGTTGATGAGTATGAAGAGCTGTTTATCGACTCAGTGACACAGGGCAGATCGAGTTCAGAGACAGAGCAAGCTTTTGTGTACTTAAAAATAGGTCCAAGACAACTCGAAGTAAAGTTCAAACTAGACACTGGATCATCTGCCAACGTCATTTCCCTGTACGAATATGACAAGCTCAACACTCAGTGCATTCTGCAGCCGACATCTCGCCCCTTGGTTGGCTATGGTGGTGAACGCCTGGCGGTAAAAGGCAAATGTGAACTGAAATGCAAGCACAAAGACATTGAGATGACAATGACTTTTTATGTAGTCGACACAAACGCACCCCCGGTCATAGGTCTAAAAGGATGCATTGACTTTGGGCTCATTAAATTAGTACTATCTGTTACAGAAGCACAGATGGAAGTGCCAATCTTGAAGGAGTTTGCAGATGTTTTCAAAGGGATTGGACTTTTCCCTGGTGAGTGTACCATACACTTAGATCCGCACGCAACTCCAGTAGTCCACCCACCCAGACGCGTTCCTCTCGCACTACGCAGTCGTCTTAAAGAGGAGCTTGAGAGCATGGAAAGACAGGATGTCATCATTAAAGTCGTCGAGCCTACTGAATGGGTTAACTCTATGGTTGTGGCTGAGAAACCCCGCACAGGTCAGCTGAGGGTGTGTCTGGACCCAAGGGACCTTAACAAGGCCATCAAGCGACCTCATTACCCATTACCTACTCTCGAGGATATAACATCCAGGTTAGCTGGTGCCCGATATTTTAGTGTCCTGGATGATAGATCGGGTTATTGGGCCATAAAGCTCACTGAGGAATCTTCAAGGCTGACCACCTTCAACACACCTTTTGGGCGTTACCGTTTCCGACGCTTTCCCTTCGGACTTATTTCAGCCCAAGACGAGTTCCAGCGGAAAATTGATGAAACGTATGAAGGTCTGAATGGGGTCATGGCCATTGTTGACGATATTCTCATCTATGGGAATACGAAAGCTGATCATGATGAACATCTCCATGGTATGCTGCAGCGTTCCAGAGAGAGAGGAGTCAGACTCAATCCAGAAAAGAGTCTCATCTGTGCTACAGAGGTGAGCTATTTTGGTCATCTCCTCACTGCTGAGGGAGTGAAGCCTGACCCTGCCAAAATTGCTGCCGTGAGAGATATGGAGCCACCTAACGACAAGGGAGAACTCGAGACAGTGCTAGGTATGATTAACTACCTCTCCAAATTTGCACCTGGCCTTTCTGAAATCAACGCACCGCTGCGACAGCTCCTAAAGGAGTCAAGTGAGTTTGTTTGGGATGCCCAGCATGACAAAGCCTTCGAGAAGATAAAAGAGCTCCTCACATGCGCACCAGGCCCAGTCTTGGCCTATTTCGATCCTCTAAAGGAGATAAGGTTACAAGTTGACGCTTCAAAGTACGGGGCAGTTCTGCTACAGGATGGAAGACCTGTCGCGTACGCATCAAAGTCGCTCTCTGAATGCGAAGTCAATTACGCTCAAATTGAGAAAGAGCTCTTTGCCATACTATTTGGCTGCAAGTGCTTCCATCAATACATTTATGGCCGTCAAATCATTGTTGAGAGTGACCACAAACCCCTTGAGTCCATAATGCGGAAACCCCTGGCATCAGTTCCCCCAAGGCTACAGAGGATGATCCTCCAGCTCCAAAAATATAATTTCACCATCGTACATCGACCAGGCAAGGATATCCCTGTTGCAGACACATTATCCAGAAAGTCGCTGTCTGACCAGGACACAAGCCTAAGTGAAGGTATGGATATTCAAGTGCACACAGTTTACAGCAGTCTTCCCGTCAGTGACTCAAAATTGAAGGAAATTAGAAGTCAAAGTGAAAAGGACCCACAGTTCCAGACACTGAAAGGAGTGATTCTAAGAGGATGGCCTGAGGAAAAGAGAAAGTGTCCCGTGAGTGTGTCAGAATTCTGGAATCACCGTGACGAGCTTTCGTGCCTGCATGGTATAATCTTCAAAGGTGAAAAGATTGTCATTCCCACAAGCCTTCGCTCTGTAAAGATTCTGGGTCGGTTCTGATCAGGGGGGGGATTTGCATATCATAATTAATAATTGATAATTAATAATTATTCATACAGATTTGGATCAGACCGGTCTTACATGTTAATTTATTAATTTTACCCATATGCATACATGTGCATCCCCGCAATCAACCACAAATTAATTGTTATTGATTGCAAGGACCACGTTTTACAAGACAGGTAAAATCAATTAGCTCAATTAAGTTATATAGCTTGTGAAAACGAATTCTGTGGCCACTAGAATCTGCCTTCCCTGCTATATAACCAAATACCCTCTTAGGTATTTATAGTTCTGTAAAGCGTGTAGCTTCAAATTGACATTTCATTGACCCGTATCATGAGCAAGACAATCAGTCAAGGTAAGCATATTTTGTATTTAATAAAGTTACTACTTAAGCATTCACTACGTTACAATGATACATGTATTTACAAACATTAAAACACAAACTAAGACGACGCAGAGCGTTTAGACAATGGATACGCGCGAGTTAAGTGAGTTGGAGAGAGAGAGAGAGAGAGAGTGAGAGAGAGAGTGAGTTGTGAGAGAGAGAGTTACGTTCATCAAAACAGTCAGTTAACCTTTCTGGACACCACCAAAAACATTTTCTTAATGCTTCTTAGAAGCTCTAAAAGAAGGTATACTTGCAAGGCACATTGGGTCTGTGTGAGTCGTGGGCTCGTTGCTCGGCCCGTTCGGGCCACGTGTCGGCTGGGGGCGCGCCTGTCCTGCGCGCGTGCCTCACGTGAAGCGCGGCCGCGGCACGTTTGCGCGGCCCGTCCCGGCTCGTTCATGGCTGCTTTGTTCCGTGGGGAGTCACGTGGCGTTCGTCGGCATTTAGCGCCAGTGTTTGAAAGGCTGAGAGTTTTTGAGGTGACGTTACCCGAGGAGATAGTTCGGCAGAGTCCACTTCCTTTCCTGGAAGACGAACTTGGTAGTCCACTTGAGGAAAAGATGAAACTTTTAGACGAACAAAAGGAAAGATCCATCGTTGGATCAGAGTCCCGTGAGGTTTACATGTTGAGCGCTGGAAAGTTCAGAAGAGAGACAGGGCGGACCTGCGTTCTCACATTTATCACCTTGGAGAAATCCATCCCCTTCCTGTTGGCTTGAGCCAATCGGAGAGTGGATGTTGCACGCGGGAAGCTTTCTTTTGTTCCTCAGCGCGCGCTTCTCGTGGAAGGGGGTGTGTTAAATGAGGGTTTTGCAATAGCAATTTGATCTTCATTGGCAGTACAACGAATTAAAAATACACTTTACTTTACATCTCTATGCATATTCGAGTGTTTCATTCAATAAGCATTCTAGAGATATCAAGGAACATTATGTTATATCAAAGGAATATACACTTATGTTTCAAATGCATGACGAAGGTATTTTTAATTCCTATTTAAACTGTGACCAAACAAAGTTATTTCACTGTGACATGGGGAAGACACACATACATAAAAACCATTGAAAACATTTTGTTGAATGTTTTTAAACACCAAAAGTCCTTCTCTTTGTTCAAAAACATTCCACACATTCCGATGTGTGGGGGAAGTGAAAGGTTTGTGTGTGCGTGTATGTGTTGATGTAATTCGCCTGGCCAAGATTCATTACATCTCCCCCTTTTCGTTAGGTGAAGTCCTTGTGTGACTTCATCGAACGACACCATCGCAATGGACGGATGGCAGGTGAATCATGAGGGTCAGGTGGCAGGCGGCGGCTAGGCTGAGGTAGGGGCTCAGCTTGCTGAGGTTTGACGCAGTCTCCAGCGTGGTACCCTCTTCCTGAGGGTCCCGTGGTGGCTGTGGAGGTTTGCATTTCCTTGCCTCTTGTGCAGCGTGGATGTCAAGTGTCAGGGTGTGGTTGATTACCGTAGAGGTACCCAGTGCAGAATCAGCTGCAGTCCAGGATTGGACTACCGGTGAGGCAGTTGTGCAGTGCAACAGGTGTGCAGTTGAGACACAGCGGTCACTGGGAAGAAGTCCAGTTTGGCTGGACCCCTTCTATCATCGTTCATAATTCCAGTTCTGGAATCAGGGTGAAATCGTGGGTTTCGTCCTGGCTGGGACTTGACTCACGCTCGGTTGCAGCAGGGTAGCTCGGGTCTTGGAGCAAAGGCTGCTTGGTGAATTTTAGCAAAGTCATTCTGGCAGACAGTGAACAGTTGTCTCGCTGGAGCTCACTTGTCTGGTTCAGTAGAATGCTGTGTGCGTTGCGGATTTATCACAGTTCCTTTCAATTTCTTGATGGTCTGTGAGGAGGCACTCTGTGTTGTGAGTTACCTTTTGGCTGTGGGATTTCAGTTCGTTTGGTTGCTGGACAGGCCGGTGTTTGACTGCGTACTGACAGCAGCGGCGTGGGAGTCCATTTAGCTCTGCTTGCGTGGCAGTCGACCATATGCTGTCTGATGTCGGACCCGGCGGTGAGGCGGTCGACAGTAGCTGTCCTCTGGTTGGCTGGAGGCACAGGAAGACGACCACAGCAGCATCCTGTAACAGAGACAGGGGAGAGAGAGAGAAAGGGAGGAAAGAATTCAGCGGCTGTCGGCTGGGACAGTCTGATGCCTTTGAGGATGCCGAGATGTCCTGGTGCTGCGGTGTGCAGCCCACATGGTGCGTGACTGGGCATACACTGGCATATCCCCCTTTCTGCACCGTGGCAGCACAAGCCGTGGCGAAGTGATGTCACGAGGTGCATGAAACTGAGTTGTAGGGCCGTTGAGCAGCATGTTCTTGGTGTGCTGCCTGATGTGTCCGACGGCAGGCTTGGGAGGTTGGAGGGGTAAAGAGGTGGTAGTTTCAGAGTTCATTTGGTTAGTCAGTCTTTAGTGAGCTGAAAAGTGCAGAGTAGCAAGTTCACCTCTCCATTTGGTGCTGAGGCTGTGCCTTCATGGCTGGCTGCGGGAGTTCTTGTGACCTCTGTGACCTGCCAGTTAGGTTCTCTTGACCTGTATGACTGGAGGGGGAGGGGTTCTTGAACTTGAGCTCAGGCATTCAGTTGATTAAAGTCTATTAAAGGCTCAAAGCGATCTAACAGATCTTGGGCAATCAGAAGTGGGTACGTGATCGTTCTTGATCGGTACCCTGGGTGAATCAGGCTCATAGGACCAAATGGATGAATGGGAGCTACCTGTTTTGAGCCAGAAGTTGTTTTGGCTGTAGGGTTTTCATTCAGCTCACATGTTTGGGCTTTGAGAGTGCGTTCTTGACTCTTAGCTTTAGCAGTGAGTCTTTCGAAGAGTTGGGCTGACATTAGCGTGATGTTTGAGCTAGTGTCTGACAGGCCTTCAAGGCTCAAATGATTGTCTCTGGTGGTGGTTATGTAGAGTCTTTTGGGCCACCCCCTTTTGTTTAGGGTTCCCAGAAGTTTAGGCATCTGGGCTGGTGTTGTGATCGATGAGCGGTTAGGGCCGGTGTTTTGTGGGACACCGGACTGTCATGCTCAGGTTGTGCAGCTGTCAGTTGTAGCGGCTGCTTGGTGTTGTCGCTTTGTGATGCGACAGTGAGCTCTGTGGTCTGATGCTGACGAGCAGTGTTCTGGGTGTCTGGCTTGGGTCTTGCGCTGAGACATAGGATGTCTGACTTGTCTCCTTGTGATGTCTCGTGCAGAAACGCTTTCAGCACCTTCAGGATTTCTGCCGTCTGTGACGTGGCTGCACTGTTGTTATCTGATGTGTGCTCAGACTTGTGCTTACCAGTGGCGTGTTGAGAGGGTACCGCTCTGGGCTGGTTGGGCTTGAGTCTCTTGGTGCTGGGCGGTCCATTCTGGGTCGCCGGCTGGCTTCCAGAAATGTTTCAGAGCTCTTGCTCTGGGGCGTTAGATGAGCACCATGACTGTTGTGTTGCCCTCTGCTGGCCTGGAACGGTTTAACTCTCAGTGAAGGTGTTTGTGATGTATGGGGTGCCTTCTAGGGGCAGCTCTGAGTCGTGCTCAGAGACAGGTTAGTCTGAGGGTTTTTACACAGTCTTTTCGGACAAAGTCTTTGCGTAATGTGAGCTTTTGGGCCCAGTCTCGTAGCTGAGGTAGACAGGCTACAAGCACAGGCCAGGGTGCTTATCTACTAACTCACTGTGGGATGCAGGTTTTAAGGGAACAAAGTTCTGAAACTGGTATCCTTTTCATACCTGATGGTTTGCTTCTCTTGAAGTAGGCTTGCCGAAGTCGGTGGAGTTTCAAGTCGGTCTTACTTGATGTCCACGGTGGTGATAACCCTTGGTCTGATTCTGGATCAGGGAGTTAAGCGATCAAAGCTTATTGCAACAGCTGGTAGTCCATTTTGACAGTCTCTGTTTGACGATCTAGGAAGCTGTGCACCTCGCGACTGGACGTAATCCATATCAAGCAGAATCTGTTTCATGCAGTCATGTTGGTTAGACAGTTTGCAAGTGAAAGTCTTGTCTGCATGTCGTGGGTAGATGCAGGGTCCTGAGTGAATCTTGGGCCCTTTCTGGTTAGCTTTGTTGCATCCTTTTTGGAGCCATGCCGTGGTTTGGGGCAGTGGTTCCTTGGCAGGTTGAGGTCGGTTTAAGCAGGGGCTCTGTGGCATTCTGGCACACTTGTTGTGAGTGACTAATGCATGGCCCTAAAAGTTCAGAACTACTGCTTAATAAGTTAGTTAAGTGTTTAGCATAAAGCTAAGTGTCTCTTGTGTCCTTATCTTAGCTGTGCATGTTAGGGCTAAGTCTTGTGTGGTTCCGAGCGTATTTCCTGGAAAGGACATATCCGAGATGAAATAAATAACATAAGGTGGTCCTTATGACTAAATTATTTCTCTGGACTTAGCTGGTGGTCCACTATGGCTCGACGAAGTGAACAATAATAGGAAAAGGACCGCTTTCTTATTTAAATTCTGCTTATTATCGACCCTCAGGACTCTAGTAGTGCCCTAGTAAATTGTTGAAATTACTTGCGTTGCAGGGTCACGAACGAGTGCATTGGTTGAAACTAAGCCAAAATAACAAATAAGGGGGTCTCTGTTTCCTTTCTGGGCCCTATTGGGAATAGAACCACACTTGGACAAGAGAGGAAATGAAATTAAATCATATAGATGACCTAAGGGAATAGCTGCTTGCTATTATCATCAAGGTCGAAGGAATGAAATAATCAATGAGGCAAAATAAAATTAAAATTAAAGCAAAAGGAAATAAAGTGATCAAAACACGGGAATGATCTGAGGTCAAGAGTGTTCAGTGGCATTAGTGACTAAACTTTGGATTTGCTTTGATCAACACTATAGTGGGTTGTAGCGGTTGGGTGTTCAAAACCACATTGTGTGTCCCTCCAAAGCTTTAGTCAACATGCCGATGAAAATTCCTACGGTTACACGCGTTATTCTGTAGTTAGTCACGCAGTTTTCATGTAGTTAAACTTAAGTTTAATTAACAAGGCATCTGCGAAGTTCGCCCTTAACGGTTAGCAAGGAGTATTCCTAACCCTGTGAAGGTAAACTTTAGCTAATAAGAATGGTAAACATGGAAAGTGAGTAATTTAAAACCCTAACTGGTGTTGAGAAAGTATTCTAGAATACTTTGCACTGTGGAACACGAGCGGTGAGTAAGGGTTCACGTAAATGATGCTAACTGTTAACTGTGGAGGTTATTCAGCTTAGCCTAAGTTAGCTTGATGCTAAGCTAGGTTAGCTTAGCCTAAGTTAGCTTAGTGCTGGGTTAGTTTAGCTTAGCCTAAGTTAGCTTGATGCTAGGCTAGCCACCCAAGCTGGTTTGTTTACAAAAGTGACATTACAAGGTAACACTTCCTGTGACAAGTTGTTGTCATGGGAACCAGAGAGTGTCGCTAGGCTAGGTTAGCTTAGCCACCCAGGCTGGTTTGTTTACAAAAGTGACATTACAAGGTGACACTTCCTGTGACAAGTTGTTGTCATGGGAACCAGAGCGTGTCAGAGCAATTCAACAGTATCTGAAGAATGTCTGTATATTTTACATGAATCATGCACGTTTTAATGGGTTAAAAGGAGGCGCCTATACTTTATGATTTTCAAGAACTTTGGTTGCATTCAGTAAAACGCAAATGTGTTTTGGCATTTGCTGATTTTCTCATGGAACTCTGTTCTTTACTTTACACGTCTTCTATTTGTTTACAGAGTAAGGAAATAGATTTGCTGCAAGTCAAAGCTTGTCTTGTTCTATTTGTTTACAGAGTAAGGAAATAGGTTTGCTGCTGAGTCAAAGCTCGTCTAAGCATATATAGGTACGTCTCTCTCATGCATGAGTGTTAGCTCTTCCGCGAGTAACTTGTTTTGATCGTTTAGTGGCTTTCTGCTTGTCGATGCAGCTAAAATTTAGGTGAATTACATCAATCTAACAATAAAATTAAGGCCTTTACTTCGTAGAAAGGGGGAGCGTCTCCCAGGTCTACCTACATATAACTCTGTCCTGGGCTTCCTTCGTCAGGAACAGGTTTAGTCATACCGCGATTTGGATTTCTTTTTAACCAAAGCAGAATAGATATCGGTACAGATTACAAGCTGCTGAGGTGGTACCTTTATTACACAGACTTACGCTTTAATGCTGACGTTCTTGATATCAGTTGGGACTCTAAGGCTGTTTTTTTTTTCAAAGTAGAGATGTCAATTCCAGCTATTTGTTTTATCTGCATTTAGATAAGTCAGCGATCAAAATGCGTGTTGCACGTTGCGTTCTAGTGGGATCGCGATGATCGAGTGCACGCCTGTAGGTTAACAATAGTTTAAACTCGGGTGGTTTTACTACACTCTGTCGTCAGGGTAACGTACTGTAGGCCCTGTTTGGAGTTGGTGTTTTCTGTAACTCTTCACTGTCACAAAACCTAATGTTTAACGGTGCTGATTTAAACAGCATCTAGAAACTGTCTGTTTCAAAAGAGTCGTGCATAGTCCGTCGGCCGTTGAGGCTTACATGTCTATCTAAGATTCCTTTAACTTAGTAAAATTCTAATTCTACAAACGCAGAGTCTTGCACGGTGTTCGTGCTGTGTGTCTTCTGGTTCTGCAGTTCAGAATAATTTGGGTTTTGAGGAATTTTTACTGGGGGCCTTCACGCCTCGTTGAGTGGGCATGGTGTGGGGCCGAGAGAACTATGGTGACTGACGGGTTTTTGGAGGGAAAGTTTCTTGAAACTGGCGTCCTCCTCAGTTACAGGTTCGTTGTAAGTTCCACAGAAAACTCGTTCGGAGCCGGTGGTGGTAGCACAGGCCCTCCGGGGTCTGTCTTGCTGGGTGTCGGTGTCGTGTGCACCGGTTGGAGACAGCAGGTGAAAAGTCAATGTCTTGTAGATTGTCAGAGATGTTGTGGAAGGCGGGCTTTTCCACCCCCCTTTTTCAGCTCTTGTGCATTGGCTGAAATGTGCAGACTGGTCAGGGGAAGCTTGTGGTGTGTGTCCTCCCTTTCCAGTCATGCTGCAGTCTATCAGAGTGTTGCAACTCTGTGGGTCAAGTTCGTGTTCGAGATCTTGTCTCTGCTGAACGAGCTTGTGGGTGGTCGCACGGGCCTCTTGCGCAGGCCGTGGCTTTTGAGTCTCTTTCAGTTCAGTCTCTGCTCTTTGCAAGAGACTTCACTTTGTCGGAGTTTCTCGTTGAATTCTTTTTAGTTCTTTTCTCTGACTATTCTTCTTCAGTCTATGTAGAAAATTAGACAGGGCAGTTTGAAGTCTTTCCACTTCCTTCGGTAGCTCGGGGTAGTTGTCATCCTCGGCGTTACAACCTTGTGCTCCAGGGCGATGCGGCTCCTTTCGCGGAGGCGTGCGTTGAGCTGGTGAGCGAGGTTGTGACGTGTCTGGCCCAGTCTTTGTCAGCTGCTCTTGGCTCGGGGCTCTGAGTCGCTGGTGGCTTTGGGCAGGGATGGAGATGTCATGAATCTCAGCCATGTCTCCAGGTCGTCCCAGCGGGTTGTGGGACTGTAGGACTGGAACATACTGGCTTCACTGTGGACGAGAGGAACACAACACACACAGACAGACCAATGCCAGTTCGACTACTTTTAACGAGCTATAATACAGGCTAAGCCGTGTATGAGAATTTTGGTTAACTGATGCAGACAGTTAAACCGTTTGGTGGGACAATTTGGGTAGGTCATCATGGGTCTGAATGAAGGTTTTTGACAGGGCGCTAGCTTAGGGGTCACCTGTTGGTGCTAACGACTTGGTTGTCAAACTATTCTTCAGCTTTCCTTGGTGTGTCAGAGAGGTTCTGTCTCTAGGTGAACTGAAAGGAACAGAGCACAACAGAACAGAGCAATGGCAATCTAGCAAAGTTTGAAGTAACATGCAACCATCAGAGATGGGGAGGTCTGTACTGAAATGGCATTAGTAGTAGTACACCAGCAGTGTTAGAAAGGGGAAGAAGAGAAGGCCTAAGCCTGTTTGGAGCCGGTTTGTGGCTCGGAGAGGAGGAAGCCAATCACTTCAAATTACCAGGGGAATCTCTAGATTCTGTGGCAAATAGTAAGTGGATGGGTTTTAATACCTTTTCTAGTTTGCCTGGGGTGAAATGAGGTCATTCTGGCCGGAGTCAGCATCGTGGTTGGTCCTTCTGTCGCCCCACACATGACAGCAGTGTCCCGGGCCTTTCGGTGCATCTGTACCGAGGTGCGCCCTCTCAAGCAACTTGACCTTGAACACAACCGGCGGTGCCAGATTGGTGATATCGTGTTGCGGCCGCACCAACAGAAGATACAGAAAAGTCCGAGACTCGCGCTCAGTCAGTGATGGTGACGCAGATCAGACGAACCAGCTCGCTGGACCCCAGGCAGAGATGACTGTCAAATCATCACAGCACGAGAGAGATTTCTACTTGCAAACACAAAACAGGATGAAGAACAAGTGTACTTCAATGTGAATTAAAGCTCCTTTATCTAAATCAAATTGAGTGTTTTTTTTTAGAAAAATCAAAGGCAACAGCTTTACTAAAATTATGGTATAAAAAAAGGAAATTATGACAATGTTACTTATCAGAATAACCTAGCCTCCATTCAGGAAAGGATAGAGTGCAGCAATGAAGAACACAGGAGGAAGCGAGCTGTAGTGGCGGGTTTTGGCCACTAAGGGTTTTGGTCCACTTCCTGCTAGTGTTTCACCGGGCTGACAGAGAGCTTGATTTAAATTGCATTCAAACTGATTTAAACACAATTCAAATTGAGCAAATGCATAGGGGTTAAGTAACCATTAGATTAGTAAGGATACAGTTGTACCGAGACCAGATCAAAAATTATTAAAAATAATTTGAGGAGGAAATATAGAAATAAAGCATAAACAAATTCCCAATGGGAAATGAGAGA